AATTGTAGGAATTATAATATAAATACTTTTATGGAATTAACTTTTTATCAAAACATTGTGTATCAGCATAAAAGTATTGACATGAGAGGAGCTAGAGCCCATTCTTTGGAAGGACACGAGATTAAAATAGGAGTGATCACTGTTTCTAGTAGCTTTTCGATAAAGTCACTCTAAGAACTATCAGTAATTACAACTAATTATATCTATAAATAATGTACGCATCCAAGCTCAAAATTCAATAATTTTCCCTGCCAACGTTGTGGGAATATTTTATGCTCTCTAATCCAAATGTTGTAGAAATATAACATTAATTATTTAAATAAGTCTACTGATGTCTGAATGTTTTCGTTAAGTATATTATTAATATACACAAAATATACCACAATCAAGTAAACAACATTTACAAATACCATTTGATATCATGTATATATCAATTTATAAATAAAAATATTGTCATTACATTAATGAACTCGATCATAAACTGTTTACATAGGCCTGTACCACTGAACAGTTTGATCTAGATTTTTATGATTTTTTACCATAATAGAATATATGAAATTATAGATATTACTTTGTTCAGTTATTTTATAACTCAGTTATCTACATAAAGTTGTTGTAAACCTACATTTTCGTTTTCTTAATTCATTTTTTAAACGCTATTGTGATACAGCGATTGGACTTTTTACAATTTAGAATATTTTATCTTAAATTTTAAAATTTTCAATGCTATACAGTATACAAAAAAGAAAAAAATATATATATGAAGAGAATATCAAGAGCCTTATGAAAACGATTCTCTTATCGCCATTAATTTATTATATTAATATCAGCACATAAATAATCAGCTTCAATTTTACTCATTACAAATGGATTTGGCTTAATGGAAATAGTTGACGCAGTTAAAAGGTACATATATCCGTTAGGGATCCAAATTCAGTCGATCTCTGCTCTTAGGGGATTTTGATGATTTTTTTAATGTACTGTAAAGCAGGATGGATCAGAGCATTGTTCTCTACGATGACCTAATCTATTCAAATCTTTTTGTGAGTAAAATTGAGACCAACTAGACAGTCCAGCTCTTAATCCACGCAAGACTGGAAGTTCACAAACACACACATATATAAGCTATATATAACTATATAGCCTATTATATGTTGGTTTATGAGTAACAGATTCAATCCAATTCCTCCACAAACCAATTATCATTTCAAAGTTACAGGTTAATATATATATATATAGGCCTATATGATTATATGAAAATTGCATTATATTCAGAAATGTTATAATAAGATTATTTAAAAAAGCACGAATAGGATTTGAGACCGTCTATTAATTACGAATACAATTTTTGAGCCACTTTTGACTTCCTCCTCCCTATTGTGTACAACGATGTATTTTTGGCAAACCTCTTCCCTTAAATTATACAATATTACATGGGCCTCTCCTGATATTAAAAAAAAAGTGACTTTAAGGTCTGTAAATATTTTCTAACTGATATTTTATTCACACGACTAGTAAGTATAAGAGCAAATTCGTATGCCACTAAAAAGTCCACGCAGATGATGTCTTGACTCCTTCCCCCATCATTGTACACGATAGGAACATCGCGTACAATGATGTACTTTTCTCAACCCCCCTCTCTCTCTCTTAGACTGTACACGTAGTTAATGGACGGTTCCTTTCTGAAAATGACTCAGCTATATCAAGCACGATATATAAATTTCGACTTATGTAGATCATATGATTATAGAAATTGATCTGCTTATCTGTTTATTATTGTTTAAAACAATACATTATATTAAATATTCTGGTAATATTTTTTTTATTTTAAAAAAGTGTTCATTTATTATGAAAGAAACAGACAATTGCATTTTAAAATCCTGCATATTTATATATAACTAGGGCATAATATGCAACATGTGTAAGTATATATAAACGCTTTATTATATTTGTTCAATGTAGGCTTATATTTCTAGAAATAACTAAAATAATTCAGTCAGAGCCTTCCATAACGTATGGGGCATAGGCTCCTTCTGCCATTTTGTTTTTTGAACGTAGAATGTTTCTTTATTCATAAAAAGCAATCTTAAAGATTTTATTTTTGTTGATTAAAATAACGTTAATTTACAGGGGTAGGGTCCTAAATTTCTTCCTGGCCTGTAGCTTCCCCTTTTGACGGCCCCGAATTCAGTCAAAACCAGTTTATCTATATTTTTAAATCATTATGTAATTTATATATTTATAATTCACATAGTTACTATATATTACAACTGAGTATTGGTCAATTATATCTAAGTATATATAACTTTAATTTTTTAAACCCTTAATCTAATGAATTTGGTGAAATTTAATAATCATAATAATAATAATAATAATAAAATGGAATTTAAAATTAAATAATCATTTTTAATGTTAATAATGAATAAAATAATTTTTGCAATTGAATACGATTACTCACGAAATTAAAACAGGAATTAATGTTTCAAAATTTTTACTGGTTACAGTCTTAAAACAAATATCAAATATTTCGTTATTCGGCATTTATCATTCCACAGCAAAAATAACAAAGCATAGTTCACATAGACATCATAGAGAAATAAATATATATAATTTAATACAACTATCAATTTAAGCATTTTGTTTTAATTCAAAAACATGAAAATATTGTATTGAAACAGTAGCCTAAGTATTATTTTAAAAAGTCTTATTATGCATTAAGGGATTCTTCGATTCTGATGGATCCTTCGTGATTTTTAAAGCTGCACTTAGACCTGTTGCAGCCTGAAGTTATAACATATAACAGGGTCTTTATCTTCATCAAATAATGATAAATGTAAAAATTTGAGGCGCTAAGTCAGACTCGATGTCCAGAGTCGAGTGGTTAAGATCGGATTTTCAGACGGTTTGAAAAGTCTCAGGAATTTTTGGGGGTTGTCCTCCCATCCGACAACTCTATTGTGGGTCTATGGGTAAACGTATGGTTAAATATAGGGCGGTAAGAGTTAAAAAAAAAAAAGTTATAGACTCAATGCGAGTCTCTAAGTTTCAACTTGTTTAGCTTAAGTGCAAATTTGGCTTTGGTGATCTTTTAAAGTAGCATAGATCGGATTCCAAATTTATATCGACTCTATTGAGGGCTCCGTTCACAATATATAAAAAATAAGGCCAATTTTATAAGATCAGTGTTTCTCAACGGGGGCGATATCGCAGGCGATTCCATGTTCAGGGGGCGATTTCTAACAATTTATATTTTGGGGGGACGAAAAACAATTTTCTGGGCGATATAGTAAAACATTATATTAAGAATAATTAGCTATTTTATTTGTTATATCGTACAATAATTTAAACAAATAACATTATACTAGTCATTAGTCTATTCAATGCAGCACGAATTTGGCGTTAGCCTTGGCCCTCGGCATCGGAATTTTGAAGTGAAGGGGGAGATGCTACGATTCGTTAGAGGTTGAGAAACACTGTTATAAGATGCTATAATTCAAAACCAGTCGAAAATTCTATAAATTCCAATCTTTAATTACTGCAAGAAAAAGAAATGGGTTATAATTTTAAATACTTTTTCTCTTCTTTTAAATGATTATTATTTATAATTCTGGAAAAAGTTAAATATTTTTACTCCAGTTAGAGATATAAAATATAGCTAATATAAATATAAATTACCAGATATTCCGGCCGATAAAAGTCAATCAGATCAAATAAAGTTAATTATTAAACTATAATTAAATGTAATGTTGAATTATTTTAAAGAGAATCTTTCTACATCTTTTTAAAATTCTTTTTGCTTTATGGGCACTTAGTGGTTCATACTCAGGCCCACAATGGGCACAGCCAGGGCGAAAGTTTGGTATGGAGTCCAGGGATAGAGTGGACATCATTTATCTTTTTTTTTGAATATATGAAATACGTAGAGAATGTTTCTTTATGAATAAAATGCACTTAAAAAGTCTTATTTGTTGTTAGCAAAATTAACATTAATTTATAGAAATAGGACCCACTAAAAACCCCTAAGTTTTCTTTGGATCCGAGGAAAACTCCCCAGCTTCCCCTTCTCGATGGTCCTGGGGGCGACCGGGTGGTGAGAGGGGTCCGACATATGTGCAACTCGTGATGATCAACTAAAGATATTCAAATGAAGAATAATGCAATTTTTTCTTCAATTAATAATATATATATATAATTAGATTTCAATATAAAACGGTTTTACTGAATCTGAGTCTTTTAAAATGACATTGCACATATCACACTCATTAAAAAAATTACATTTTTTATTGATAAATTGAAAAAACTATTGCTAAGATATAATGTACAGTACGTCATGAAAACCGGAAAAAAGTTAAAATTTTTAAATTATTTTCGTAGAATTTTAATTTTTCTGTTATTAAAGTTTGTTTTTATCAGGATCCTTGTTTAATTAAATAATTTTTTTTTCCTTCATCGAACAGCAAACTCCTGATAAGAGTATCAACTGTTGACCATGCCTAGGGCTCCAGTTGGGTTAAGACAAGTCTGCATTATTCATCTGTGATTAAATAAATTTGCATCACAAATTTTTTCCTCAAGTTTTTTTGTTATAATAGATACAGCCTATAAATGAGGATTTAAACCTATTCATTTTTTATGAATAAATATAATATGTAGAAAAGATAAACATGGAAGAAAAATTTCACCAGTTAAATTGACTGGAATGACATAACTTATTCAAATACTGTTTATGAAATTTGATTTCATTCTTTTAATTAAATTCATATAAAAGAAGCATTCTGTATCTATTTTATAATTATTTTTTGAACGTTTTAATACAGTGTTAAATATATTTATGAATTACTTGCTCTGTAATATACCTAAAATCCCATAGAACAAAATGTTATTGTTTTATGTAAAAAATAAATAGTTTTTAATTTTAAATATCTATAATTAATGAAAACAGAAAAAAATATTTAATTAATCTTTCTAATTTCAATTATGTTTGAATGAGATAACCACTTTATAGCATAAAATATTTTATAGCATAAAATTCAAGATTATACATTAATTGCTATTTCAATATTTAAAATATTTTAAAATAAAATAATGAATAATGAAAAAATACTACTGAGCAAACATCCGTTGATGTCGTAAACATGCAATGAAGTGCACCTGTGCGTTCCAACTTTATTTACGTTAACAGATGTAGCCTATTTTTGAAGATAAAATAATGCAAAATATAGCTCATTCGGTTCTTGAGGACACATTACTACTTTTTAGAATAACAGATTCTCCATTTTTAAATGGTGGAAACGATGTATATTGTTGACATACGAGATAAATATCATTATCAGTGGATTTCAAGCATTTTCTAGGTACACAACAACAAAACTTCAATATTTTCTGGTTTTTTGTTAGATTAAATCGAAAAAAATTAATACTTATTAAAGAATCTTTACGAGATAATGAAGAAGATTCTACAATTAGACTGGAATTAACAGGAGTGAAATATGAAAGTCCTGTTTGCTTATCCGTTTCTACTTTCCACGCTGTTTTTACTTGATCAGAATTCTGATAAGACTTGTATTGGTCATCTTGTTCACAACTGGAAATAAATATACGCTCTTAGTGGTCAACTGATGATGATATTATTAATTTATCTATTATTTAATTTTTATAGAGAACGATTAATATAAAAAATAATTTATGTATTAATATATGTAAAAATTTTTATTGCTAATCAAAATATAGTTGCCCTTAAATAATCTTCAATTTTATTTTCTGAAAAACTAATGTTTTTACTCTTTCTGGTCTGTGGGCATTAAGAGAGCCTTTTTCGATTCGAGTCTATCATGGGTTCAGCCATGATAGACTCGAATCGAATGGGGTGACCGGCTGGTGATGGATATATCTAGACTCGCCCAGATTCGCCCCTCGGTCCCCAGAATGATAGACTGACTCCTTAATCGCCTGCCCACCAGTGACCAATGGATAAAATCCTGAACACAGTCGGTAGTTGGTACTAAAAGTAGAATGGTACTTGGTCGCGGTTTCGTGCCTGTGGCCACGTGGAGTTTTCCGGTTTTCTTCAGAAATATCTAATACAGGGATCTTAAATTCAAACGCAGCAAAGGGCCAGTCAAATAGATGTATATCAGACGCGAGTCGTATTCAATGTTATTCGGTAAATCAAAACATGCTGTGATTTAAAAAAAAGGCTCTAACAAAGATCCTTTTGTTAACAGGCCTTTATGATTTATGTAAACAGTTTGACGTTTTAATTGCCTCTAGATGTTAAAAATATTGATTTTTAGAAAAGAAATCAAGGCCACAGACGGGATAAAGAGCTTTAATGGCCGTATCTGGCCCGCGGGCATCCAGTTTGCAACCCCTGATCTAACACCTATATAGGAGACAATTTCCGATAGAAAGTCCTTCCAAGAGGACTTCGCCTATGTGTTGTGTAGCTTTTATCCCATAATTCTACATTTTCGGTTCTTTTTATCCCGTGGAACTGAGAGGACATTTTCCCCATACCCATTGTGAGTCCAGTCAGGTCGACATGGTCAGGTGGTAATGGACGGGGTCCAACATATCCAGGGTAGATGCCCATGAAAATTCCCGAGGAATTGACTCACCAGGATTCGATTCTAGGTCTCTCAAGCGATAGGTCTTTAATTGCCTCGGCCATTGAACCAGCACAATAGAATTTATCTTCATGCATAGAGTTTGTCACAACTTTAATATTATGCATTTTATTATTATGATTATTTATAATAAGAATTTCGTATCCAATTTACTCAATGAAGCTGAATCGCATGATAAAGGATCGAAAATTTTCTGACGAATCTAGTTCACTTGAATAAAAAGTTTTTCGGTAAATATTTCGCAATTATTTCATTAAAATCATGATTAAATCCATTATTTTTATTTCTTAGAGTTCAATTAATGATATTTCATTATTTCAATTTATTAAACTATATAACAGAACACAGCCTTATATTTTTTAATATTTCTATTAATTAGAATATATTAATGTAAACATATTTACATTATATTTTAATTAATTCAACGCTTTTAGACAAAATGAGAGTTTATATAAGAGCTCTTAATTAGTTTATATTATTTACTCTAAATATTACAATAATTTTCTAATCATTCTATTTAATTTACAAATGAAATAATAATTAGTAAAACAAATACTATATTAAATTATGCAATGTCGACGAATACATTCTAAATTTTTATTAAATACAAACTTTTCTATCGTAACGCAATTACAATTAAAAATTAAATTATACAACAGATTTCAATTCGACAAAAACTATTGTACCATAAAATTTCCTTTAAAATTAAAAAACAGTAATCGAAGAAAAACTAACCTGATTTTACTGTGACATTTATTCTTTTTAAAAGGAAACGAATTAACATTTCCAAATATTTTCTGCAATGTTTGAGTTTCGCTTCTCATGTTAAACCTCTGTGGAGCGTCATTAAATTGAAAACGTGTAGAAAACAGACTACAGCGACTTCTCTATTGTGAAAAATGTTTAATTTATTTTATTGGTGCTTCTATAAATAAATTCTTCTACTTGATGCCATTTTTAAATACTTTTAAACTAATACTTTAATTAATTTTTAATTTTAATTCAAAATCAATCAAATAATTTTTAAAAAATTCAANAGTTAGTCCCTCTTTCGGTACTACAGCTGCTCATATATTGATATAACTACTATATGGTTTAAAGAGGTCTTTTTAACTAGTCTGTCGTCAATTCAATCAGGTTCGCAATGGGACGTCTGAGTAATGAGGGACGTAGTCCGATTTAGGCTATATGAATCAGACAGAACAACCAAGAAAAATTTCTCAAGATTAGACCCGAATTCCAATGCGAATTTCTCAAGTGAAAGGCTCTCAACTAAACGGCAGAATGAACGAAGATTCATATACAGTAAGTACGAATCAGAGACTTATGGATAAAAATTAATAGCTGGTCGTGGATTTGTGTTTAACCAACCGGCTGGCTGCGTGTTTTTCGGGTTTTTTTCCCCCACATATCTAACACTTAAATACGGCCAGTTTACCACAGAGAGTCTTCCTGAAAGGCATCTCTATGTGCTAAAGAAAGGTTGTCTCTGCAATGGAAATAGTTGTTCCTGGTGATTAGACATGGCAAGTAAACTTGGACTTGTATCCAGATGAATTTTATGTTTTATTAAATTGTAATTCTGCCAGCCCATTTCTACAAACAAAATGTATATATTGTTTTTGTTCAACTTCGGTTTAATTAGAAATTATATAAATGGTTTTTATGTGTAGATTATATAAGTTATCAAAACATACACAGAGCGTATCACAAAAGTCTGGAACCAAAGTTCTGTTAATCTTAGTTTATTCTTTTACAGATAAAGCATGGCGCTTAACAAGGAGGAACGAATTCAAGTTATTTTAATGGTGATGATCTCAGTCATAGAGAAGAGTTTAATAGGTTACATCCAGATAGCTATACAGTAGACCCCATACAACACTGTAGATAATTCCGTGTTATATGAATTCCATGTTGTACGAGTCACTTAAATTTTACAAATACTTCAGCCATTCACAGCCCAGCACACGTATTTGTAAAATCTAAGTGACTCGTACAACATGGAATTCATATAAAACGGAATTATCTACAGTGTTATAGGGGAAGTCTACTGTATGTGATTGATGGGAAGTCTGGTGCAGTCTGTTAAACTCTTCGGCGACTTCTCGCTGACCGCGGATCCCCACCAATAAAATAACGTAAATTCGTTTCTCATTACTCAGCACCATGCTTTACCTGTAAAAGAATAAACAAAGATAACAGAACTTCTAAGATTCCCAACTTATGGGACACCTTATATATGTTTCTTTCATATTTCAAAACATGTTCAGAGACACTATAAATTTAAAAAAATCAATATATACTCGCATTTTTGTTATGTAATGTTAAATAGCAATTTTCCAGAATAATCATAAGAATTCTCTGTTTGTATTCTGTAATGATTAAATTTGCTTTTATAAAAATGAAGATGTGTTGCATTATGATACAGCGATTTGTTTACGAAAAACACTTTTGTACTTATTTTTCATTAATATTTACTTAATATCATTAAACAAATATAAATAACATATCATATTAACTGTGAATCGTTAATATGCTGGCGAATGAGAAGAAACTCTTCAAAACATTATTATGATATATACGTAGTATATACTGTATACAGCAAAGGGGAAGACCACAGGTGCTTAAGTCCTCCCCATTGACACAAAAATAAAATTAAAATTTATTTGAACTTTCAAAACCTTGTTTTTAAAAAGCATTTATGATTGTAATGCGGACCATACGCATTATAGTCATCGTGCACGGTAATAGCGTTAAAAGTATTTATTAATTCAAATATTTTTAATTTTTGAGTTAGTCCCTCTTTCGGTACTACAGCTGCTCATATATTGATATAACTACTATATGGTTTAAAGAGGTCTTTTTAACTAGTCTGTCGTCAATTCAATCAGGTTCGCAATGGGACGTCTGAGTAATGAGGGACGTAGTCCGATTTAGGCTATATGAATCAGACAGAACAACCAAGAAAAATTTCTCAAGATTAGACCCGAATTCCAATGCGAATTTCTCAAGTGAAAGGCTCTCAACTAAACGGCAGAATGAACGAAGATTCATATACAGTAAGTACGAATCAGAGACTTATGGATAAAAATTAATAGCTGGTCGTGGATTTGTGTTTAACCAACCGGCTGGCTGCGTGTTTTTCGGGTTTTTTCCCCCACATATCTAACACTTAAATACGGCCAGTTTACCACAGAGAGTCTTCCTGAAAGGCATCTCTATGTGTTGCTTTATTGTATCCCACCAAACCAAACCAAGTCTGAATTGGCTTAGAAATTTACACTGGTGAGTTAATCCAGATACATTTGATCTCGTGCCCTATCATCAAGCCACCATCATTGTTGGCCTGGTCGAATCCTTGATGGATATGTATAAAACAGTTTTTAGTGTCCAAGAGTGAAAAGAGTACAAGATAAAATAGCTTTTGCTATCAATACTCTTATTGTAAAATTTTTATCTTATTGTAAATTAAAAGTTTTTAATAAATGCATTCACACTGAGTTTGCGTTTTTCATCAATAAATTCAATCAATTGAATTGCTCAAACTGTTGATTGATTAATACTTCGCATTAACTAATTAAGCATTACCATAGTGAATCAACCATTCTACAATTATGCCTATTAAGGGCTATCCATAAATGATGTCCGCACTGGAAGAGAGGAAGGGGGTTATGAAAAGTCAGACAAGGGAAGGTGGTTATGGAAACTTCCCTCACCACCCGGCCGCCACATTGTGGGCCTAGCCGAACTCATAATGGGCTTGCTAAAAGAGGCCCACAGGGAGAAAAGAATTTTTAAAAAATATGTCTTCACACAATGTAGTAAATTCAACATAAAAATTTAAGTTTTTAATTTTCTGTAATGATGTCTTAACATAGTTTATTATTATTTGTTTTGATCTGATTAGCTATTAGTTCGTCTCTAATTATTTTCTTGTTGACCATTGGGTCGAGATATCTAAATATCTATTGATTACTTTGTATGACGATTGAAAAAAAAGTTGAAATGGGAATACTATTTAGCAATCTTTCATAAATTAAGCAATTTCATTCTGTAATTATATTAAAATTTATTTCTGTGTTTTGTACACTTTTTATTCCTTTTAGACAGAACTCCGTTTTTTTACACAGAAATTTGATACGACCCGACATAGTTTTTAGTATTTTTTGTTGCCAACAGGCATGAGCGTAGCGAGGAGGGAGCCTGAGTGGGCACGGTCCTCCCCAGTGAACTTGGTGCCCCCAGAAAATTACAGCCGAAAAAGTGTTGAGCCGATTTGGAAACAGAACGAAAAACTTAAAGCTAAAAATTTTGAATACTAAAAGATAAAAAAAAGGGTCAACTGTGCACACTGTTATTAATAATTTGAAATAATTCAATGTTGTGTTAGATTGGCCTCTACTAGGCCCCCATAACAAAACTCTGGCTACGCCCATGCCAACAGGATGGCTGAGGCGGTTAAAGTAGCAATGTCACTTTAGAAGACCCGAGTTCGAATCTGGTTGGTAAAAAAATTCCCAGGAATTTTTCGGGTGTAGTCCGTTCCAGATATATCGGGACCATCTCTTACCATCCGGCGGCCCCGTTGCGGGCCAAGCCGAATCCGCGATGATTTGAAAAAAGTCCACTTTACTGTTTACAGGGCGGAATATCAAAAAATTAAAAGTAGAAAACATTTCAACAAATTACGAAATTAAATCATTCTTACGAAAACAACTAAATGTACAGTACATTTAAAAAAAAAACTAATCTCGTATTAATTACGAATTTAATACAATACAGTTAAATTCATAAAGTGTTCAATAAGTGTTCTTTTTATTAAATCGAGATTAAGAAAATAAATACAGTAATAATTTAAAAAATGTTTTTCAGTTTATTATATTTCGCATAATAAATATAATAATAATATTATTATTATATTTAATATCCGATATTTAATATATTATATTAAATATATAATAATAATAATAATATATATATTTTAAATTTTGATTTCTGGTTATTTTATACGAATACGAAATTACGTAAACACTAACGATTCTGCGCAGATCGAGTGCTAACAGACCAATGAAAGTATACGACCGAGTTTGTCATGTGACCCAAATGTTTTGATAAAGATTTAGAAATGTATTCGTTGAGGGACGAAAATGCTGTCAAACGTTTTAAATTAAAACCCGAATTAACTGGTATTGCCATTAATAACTTATTAAAGGTAAGATTTAAATCATCTTTTTCAATAAATATATTATTGTTTAAACTGTACGTTTCGAAAATGTTGTTTGTAACTGTAAATAAATGAATTGCAAGCGTTTAATTATACTTGATGATTGCTTAATATGCACGTGAAAAAATTCTCTTAAGAAATTTCAATTCGTCTTTCATTTGTCCTATTTAAGGCAAAATATATTCTAGTTTAGTTAACAATTTATAAAAGTTTCATTAAAAAGTTTAATGTTTGCTTCTTTTTATTAATATAGAGCACGTCTTGTTTTCTGTTAGTAAAAATAACATTAATTTTTAAGGATAGGAATCACTTGGGATCCCTTTTTTTCTCTGGATGCGGGAAAAATTCTTCATAATCAATTGCATATTAAGATTACATCATTTAAATTGCTGTCTTATGATAGTATGGTTGTAATAAAGATATATATTTGTATAAAATGAAAGAAAAATACTTTAATCAATGTTAATTTCCAGTTTTTCATAAATAATAATCATACCGATTCCTGTTTTATTGGAGCAAAAAACAAAAAAGTATGGTTATTCATGGTTACTGGATATTTTAATTGTGAAATGTTTTACACTGTGGCTAAGCAGCTTTTGCATGTTTTAACGTAGAACATTTTAATTGTAAATTACTAAAAAAATCGTTATATGGGAAAGGCAGAAATTGTACAGGTGATGCTTGATTTAAAAACTTTTTGAGCTACTTGGATGACCACTGTTAGTGTGAAAGACCAGTTAGCACTTCAGTCCCACCTTTGCTGCTGAGTGGCATACTGTCCCACTGTTGGTGTGCTGATCTGTTGATCTGGGGAACCACTTTCTATGACAGTTGATCATTCCTAGTAGTGATGTGAGAAACATCAATGGCACGGTGTAAATTCGTGAAATCCTGTACCCTTATTTGGTAGGGCTGGTATGCAAATAGCCATTTTAGTACAAGATAATCCTTGGCTACATATAGCTAGGGATTTCCAAGAACATCTTTCACATCATATTTCCTTGGCCTGTTTGTTCCTTATGGTGTGACCAAATGAGATGCCAGCTTTGACCAATCATGAGAATGAGAGTTCTGGAGCAGCAATTACATTTGTGGCCAGATCTGTTGTAGAATACCATACAGTGCTTGTATGTCTCTATGCCTGATTGTATTGACAGGGATATTAGACAAGAGAGTCTTACAAGATACTAAAGATTTCTTTTAACTTAAACTGTTATTCCACAGGAAATTGTCTCTGCTAAGATATTGTAATCACTTATAACTATAGTCATTATGTTCACCAGTGAAATTAAATAAGATCCTAACCCTCAAGATCAAGACAAAGAGCAAAACTTGTAATTAAAGGTTAAACCAAGATTTTAATGTTCAAGACAAGTTACAAGATCTTGATACCTTACATCATTACCTTTATTTTTTAACCTGCAAGAATTTTAAAATCCTCATAAAATCTTTACATAAAATACACTTAAAATATAATAATTTACAAAGCAAAAATATCTGTAAAAGAAGAAATGCTTTGAGAAAAAATAAGCACTGTTGACAAGAAGCAATGTCAGTCAAGATGATGAGTACTGCTACAA